TTGTCACTGCTTGATTGGCTCCTTTTTCTTGGTAGAGCTGACTGCGTTCAGACTTGACGTGAAACAAAGCGGAATGGTCATCACGCGGTTGTCATGATTGATGACAATGCGCAGTGCCTCTCGTCCCAGAGCCGTCAGTTCTCGTAATTAAAAAACTCCAGCACGAAAATGTTGCTTTTTGCATATGTGAATTCTGGCCAAAAACGAAACAATGGAAAACAGAAAACGTCTACAATTAAAAAAAAATATATATTTAAGCTATGATCTTGAATTTATTAATTTAAAATATTTGGATAAAGAGTAGTAATCGTATCGCGACCCGAACTTAATCTAATGGTAAACCGTTACCGAAACTGCGATCAAGTGCGCATTCTTTACTATCAAGTCCAAATAAGCCAAACGAGGTAAAGTATAATGGAAGAACTACGAAAACAAAACTTCTTTGCCTCATAACTCTAATTGATATTTTGTTAAAAGATATTACTTGCAATCGTCGATGTTTTCTTTCATCGAAAGCTGCGTCTCGCAGCAAAACATCGGCTGCCACCCAGAGACTTCCAGAAGCCCCTGTTTCAGGTAATTTTTCAGTAGAATATTATGCACTAGAGTTCAGATGCCGACATTTCAAGAACAACGGGCACATCATACTTGGTGGGGCATGCTATTATATCCTCAATTTGCTAAGAGCTGTAGCCGAGAAGTCGGAGTGTCGGCTGTGGATACCAGGTTGTAGAGAAGACGAATTCCGAGGAGGCTGACCTATACGGTGGAGAAAACCACCTGAACAGTAGCCATGACAAGCATTGGTACGAACAAAACGAATCATTAAATAAGAAAGGCCGAGACGTCTCTTTGTGAAAACAAATAAACAACACCAAGGCGCGGTATTCAAGAGCGAGTGGCGCGCTTCGCAGCTCCAAATTACAGGCCAGGGCTTCGTTGAGTGAGTCGCCGCCATATGCCTTTTCGGTGCGAAGGCACTTGACAGGCGCACCCGATTCGCTCGAGCTTCTGCTTCGAGGAAACCCGCTCATTGCAAGGGCACGCTTTCCTTTGAAATGAGCGACCTTGAAAGTGCATTCTGACACTGCCTCAGCCAACACCGTGTCTCACGTCGCCACTGGTGACTATGGGTCATTAACGCCGGGACGTGAACAGACCAACAACTGCCCAAATATTTATCAAGACATTAAGAAAGACTTCAAAGTCATGGTGTGTAGGGCGTCTCTGCTGGAAGCGACTTAACCTCGATCGTTGGTGGCACCGACTATGGCTCATAATTAATTACTTGCTGGGTAGCTAAATCCCAAGGACGGTTTTCTGTTAGACCTGTAGCCAGTGACAGGTTAAGAATGCAGTAGATGCTTTAATGAGAAAAGACAAGCGCCGAAAGACTAGGACAATGTAAGAAAACGACGACACAAGGCGCATAAAAAAGAGCCCGTTGCAGAAGAAATGAATTGCAACAAAATGCTGAGTTGGGCCAGTTGGTTCATAATGGGAAAAGACAAGCGCCGAAAGGCTAGAACAAAGTAAGAAAACGACGACACAAGGCCTAGTCTTTCGGCCGCGTGTCTTTTTCCATTATAAACCAACTGACCCAACTCACCATATTGATGCTTTAATGACTAAAGCGTTTGCACTGCATTTAATATTGTTTCAGCTTGAAGTTAGAAGAAGAGGAGGATGAACGCAAGGAAGAGCGGACGAATAGATCGATCTCGCCAATTAGTTTCGTCATGCCGCATGCCCGCATGGGTCACGGGAACTGTAGTTTCTGTCCATGCACGACTAAAGTCACTGGATCCTGGGAAAGTAGCGCCATTGACTTGCCTACCTTTTAGCCAGACACACACGGATACTAACATACAGACGACCGAAACAACGCATTGCGATTGTCCACGTTGCCATGGGAATTGCCATTACGGACTATTTAAATCTTCGAAGTTTCCAGGGCGTCGTTCTAAACCAGTCGCGCCAAGATCACCATGGAGCATCATCGTACTCGAAGCGTTCCTCGCAAATATTAGTATTTGCCATTCTGCATGCAATCAACTTATCAATCAGGCCCATCTCCACGGATCTCTTACAATTATATTGTTCTTCTTGAGTACTTTTAAAACAGTTAAATAATATTTGAGTGCCTCCAAGCACCGACACAGCATGTGGTGGTGGTACAAAGATGAACGCTTGTTTCGCCGGTGTGTGGATGGCAAAGTCTCGTGTAAGAGAAACGTCTCCATAAAACTACCCGTCACCAGCGAATTAAGATCGGATCACCAAGAACGGAGGGTTCAAGAAGAAATTGGTCATTTCACAGACCAAGATGGCTATCATAAGGGGATCTTGGCGCTACTTTCCCTGGATTCATTGACTTTATTCGCGCAACCTCGCTGGAGCTCTGGGCGAGCACTGAACGAGACTCCTCGAGCCATCTCGTGGACTGGTTCCTGTTCCAAGTGAGCTACAATCATGGCGGCGTAATGCATACGTGGAACGCTTTGTGGGATTGGTTTACTAGTGGGCTAGTGAGAGGGCTAAACGGTTTTCTCTGCAGCCAGTGGTTCCTATTAGCGGCGAGATGTTTTGGTGGCGCCCTCCTATGGTTCCCCCTTGTGACGTCATTACCTTGCAAACAACGAGTTCGATGGTGTTTGTAAATAGCATGGTGGAAGCTTGAAATTATTGAGCTCTTAAAGCAACACTGCCAATACCGTCAAAATTTAAGTTATTTCATTCCTCTTATTTCCGTCGATGATAAATCCCCTTTCCTACGTCATAGCCAGCGTTCGGCCAATCGTGGAAGGCCGACCACAGCGACGCTTTCGGTCGCGCACCAGGCTAATAGACGATTGCAAGCAAGGCGACTGGCCGCCGCCATGTCTTTGTTCGTGCGGACAAACCCGTGCAATTGCAAGCTTGTCAAAGCCGTGTTCAGGCGCAAGCTGCACGTGCTTGCACGAATGGGGCACCAGTCAGGGAGCAATTTTTGCAATGGACCGGTTTCACCAGCCAGTTTGATTACGCCACCCCTGCCGCAATGCATCGGGGGAACTTTCGTCTTTCTGCACGTGCGACACGCTCGCTGGAGCTCTGCTCGTGTCGAGCACGAGACAGCACGAGCCCTCTCGTGCATTGCCGTTTACCTCCTGTGAGCTAAAGTTCTGGCCGCGACACGCATGCGCCGAACGGTTGGTGAGATCGGTCTATATACCTTGTTTTTTGTAAACACCATGAGGATGTGTCAAAGTAAAAGTCAAAGTGTTTATTGGCTTAATGTAAAGACACCCGAGAGCCTGAGACAACCAAAAGGGAGAAGCCCATACACCAAGTTCTGGCTGCATCCTCAGGTGCAAGGTAACAACTGGTGAATCATTATAGATATGGAGTGTATGCGCAGGTGAATAGTGCGAATTATGACAATGATGACGGGATGATCAAGAGGGTGAAGAAAAGCGCCAGACCTAATAGCGACCTTCGCGGGGACACCATGTGCTGCTGACTTCTAGCAGGTCAGTCTCGAGCGCCTGGCGAGGGACCCCTGCTTGCCCAGCACGCAGAAGATTCGGCCGAATTTCCGGTGACGCAAGAAGTCTAGCACACCCGATGTGGGTCTCTTGGGATTGCCATCGGTTTTGGCTAAGCGGCTGTCTTCGCAAAAGTGGGACTTGACGTCTCCCAGATAGTGGTCGAGGTTGTAAATGAGCAGCTTGAATACCCTGTCGATCGAAGACATGGTGGGTGCTACGTGGTCCGATTGGCTTTCTGACAATGAAGAAAAAATCACGACTTACTTCCAGGTGGCTTCCTCTTCTTTCAAGTCTTCTGTCCCAGTTTTTGAAATTCCCGCAAATTGCCAGTAAAAAACAAACAAAGAAAGCTATTTTAAGGGGACCAGGAAACTAATTTTTTCACTTGTTTCTTCATAGCTGTAATCATCCACTCAAAAACGAAATGAGAAACCACGTGATTGTGACGCGCATGGGCACCGGATGCGACGAGTACAAGCTTTCACCGTGCTTTTTAAGCGGACCATGGAATTCTTCGTCCTTAAGTGATGATAAGTGCCGTCACATCCTCACTGGCCACGAACGGGCATCCAAATTGTTGTGTATGCAGCAGATCGGGCAACTGTGAGCGATAGCAGTGCCATCCTCCAGTAGGAGGACGTGGAAGGACTTACTGTTCGCCATTCCCTTCTCTACCTCTTCGACTCTTGTACGCGGCCAAAGTCGGCCTTGTAAATAAACCCGTGTTATGCATACCTAACATTTGGCGACGAAGTCACAGACCAATGGTAAGCGACGGCGGCCGCATGAAGAAGCAAAAACAAGCGGCGAGACTCCACACGAGGCAACGAGGGCGAGCGGCTGCGTAACGGCGGCGGCAGCGGGCAGAACGAGATGGCTTCGGAAACCAAGCCTAGCGTTTCGAACGTCTTCATGGGTCGACTGGGCCACATGGAAGAGTTTTCGCCGGACCACCCGGAATCCTGGCCTACGTACAAGGAACGCCTGTAGTTCTACTTCGCGGCGAACGGCGTGGTCGAGGAGCAGCAGCAGAGAGCAGTGCTGTGCAGCGTCTGCGGTCCGGCTACGTACGCTATCCTTCGCTCGCTGTGTTCGCCGGCGACGCCGGCAGAGACGCCGTACGCGGACATGGTTTCAAAACTCACAAGCCACTTCACGCCAAGGCCTTCGGTAATCGTAAAACGTTTCTCATTCCACAAACGAAGTCAGCGGCCTGGTGAAGACATCGCGGTATTCGTCGCGGACTTGCGCCGACTCTCCGAGCACTGCGAGTTCGGCGCCTTCCTGGAAGACATGCTCCGCGATCGTCTCGTCTGCGGTGTTAGGGACGAAGGGCTGCAACGGCGTCTCCTGGCCGAGACTACGTTGGACTTCAAGAAAGCGTGCGATAAGGCTGTCGCTGCCGAGTATGCCACGCGGCAAACGGAAAACATCAGAGGAGCGTTGCCTGCGGCGTCCGATTTACATCGGATGGATCAAGTGCCCAAGGGTGCCAAGCCGGGCGAAAAACAAGAACCCTCAACAGAGCCAAAAGCGACAGGAACAAGGCGGTGTTTCCGCTGCAACGGCGACCACGACGCTACAAGCTGTGGATTCCGCAACGCAGAGTGTCATTTCTGCAAGCGGAAGGGGCACATCGTTCGAGCCTGCCGTCAAAAGGAACAGGCAAGGAGCAGGGCCAAGAGCGACAATAAACGCCCAGGCAAGCTGGGACGCTCAGGAGTGTACGGACTTTACCACATCGCCAGTGGACTGTCGGCTTTCATAGCAACGGTCACCGTGAACGGACAGGAGGTATTGATGTAAGTGGACTCTGGATCCGTCTGTTCCATTGTCAACCTGAGGATGCTGAGCAAGCTCGGAATCTCGAGGAAGGCACTTCGACCGTGTTCCAGAGGAGTGCGGACCTACACACAGCAGCCTGTCCAGATCGTGGGTAAAGTGGAAGTTCTTGTCAAGTACAACGGTAGAGTGTGCAAGTTACCTCTACTCGTCAAAAAAGGGTCTGGAATCAGCATCCTGGGGAGAGACTGGTTTCAACCGTTATGCATATCCCTGGAAGGACTGCTCCAGCTCAACGGAGCTCCAGTTTCCAAGAGTTCCAGCGGAGAAGGCCAGCCAGCTGTACGCAAGGTGGTTACGAGTGTCAAAACTCTGCTGGAGGACCACCCAAATGTGTTCTAGATTGGGTTAGGGAAGAGCACAGGTCCTCTGGTTTGGATTGAAGTGGAGGAGCAAGCCACACCCAAGTTCCACAAGCCGCGGCAAGTACCTTTCGCTCTTCTGCCGAAAGTGGACGAAGCCATCGAGAAGTTAGCGGAGCAAGGGATTTATGTTCCGGTCAAACATTCTCGTTGGGCGACGCCTATTGTTCCGATTCTAGAGAAGAATGGAAAGATGACGATTTGTGGAGACTACAAGGGAACGCTCAACCCAGTCATCAAGTGGGAGACTTACCCACTGCCCACTCCAGAGCAACTGCTCGCAAGACTGGGAGGTTGCTCGGTGTTTTCCCGGCTTGACTTGGATCAAGCTTACCAACAGCTCTGTGTCGACGAGGACACCGCCATGCTGCAGACCGTGACAACACACAAGGGCCTGTTCAAGGTGACGCGATTGCAGTTTGGTGTGGCTGTTGTAGTAGCCATTTTTCAACGTTACATGGAAGGAGTACTAAACGGACTCGAAGGAGTTCTGTGTTTTCTGGATGACATCCTCATTGGTGGAAGAACAGTCGCCGAGCACGACGAACGGTTGCGTAAGGTGCTGCAGCGTATCCAAGACGATGGGCTTCGTCTGAATGCCGACAAGTGTGCATTCAGGGACAAGGAAGTGACGTACCTGGGGCACCGTATCAACAAGGACGGAATAAGCCCTTTGGGCGAAAAAGTTGAAGTGATCAAGCAGGCTCCGGAACCAGTGAACAAGAAGGATCTACAGTCCTTCTTGGGAGCTTTAAATTTCTATGGCCGTTTTTTGAAAGGAGCTTCACATGTGCTGGAGCCACTTTACCGCCTCCTGGACAAGGACAAGGCATGGATTTGGACAAAGACTGAAGCAAAGGCGTACCAGAGTGCCAAGAACCTGCTGGTATCATCAGCCGTCTTAGCACACTATAATGTGGCACGTCCCATAAGGCTGGCCTGTGACGAGTCTCCGTGCGGGCTGGGTGCTGTACTGAGCCAAGTGGGAGAAGACGGCGTTGAAAGACCAGTGGCCTTTGCCTCGAGAACTTTGTCAAAAGCAGAACGTAACTATGCGCAGATAGACCGGGAGACTCTGGCTTTTTTCTATTTGGCGTTCGGAAATTCCACCAGTACGTTTTTGGTCGGAAGTTTCAACTCTAGACAGACCATAAGCCGTTGCTGGGCCTCTTGCACGAGGCCAAGCCTGTTCCTGCCGTGTTGTCACCTCGGATGTTGCGCTGGAATCTGCAACTTTCTGCATACAACTACGAACTGTTGTACGTACCTGGCTCCAAGCTGCCACATGCCGACGTTTTCAGTCGTCTTCAGCTTCCTGTCAAGAATGAGCACGAGCCACCGTTGGGAGACATCTTGCTGCTGGAGGCAACGCCGGAGGTTCCTCTAGATTCTAGCAAGATCGCAGCATTAACACGGACTGACCCGGTTCTGTCGCGTGTGCACCGCTGGAGTTTGCAAGGCTGGCCTTCAGGGAAGCTGCCAGAAGAATTCCGCCCCTTTGTGGCCAGGAAGAACGAACTGTCCAGCTACAGAAACTGTGTGCTCTGGGGATCTCGTGTTGTGATTCCGGGTCCCGCACAAGCTCAAGTCCTTGAAACCCTACACACCAGGCACCCTGGAGTAGTGCGGATGAAAGGTCTTGCACGCAGCACAGTGTGGTGGCCGGGCATCGACAGTCACGTCGAACGCAAGGTAGCTGGCTGCCAAATGTGCCAAGAAACTCGACAAGCCCCCAGCAAGGCACCGGTGCACCCATGGGAGTTCACGAAGAACCCTTGGTCTCGTTTGCACATTGACTTTGCCGGTCAGTTCAAAGGGAAGGTTTTTCTGCTGGTCGTCGATTCGCATTCCAAGTGGTTGGAAGTTTTCTTGATGGAATAAATGTCGACCAGAGCAGTACTCAAGAAACTTCGAGCAATGTTTGCTCGCTTTGGCATTCCCAAAGTTTTAGTGTCGGACAATAGAACTGCGTTCACGTCAGAAGAGTTTGCTGAGTTTGCAACCAAGAATCAGATCCGGCACATTACTGTCGCACCCTATCACCCGTCCTCCAATGGGCAGATTGAGAGGATGGTACGGGAAACAAAACAAGTGCTACGCAAGTTGTCTCAAGGAGATTGGTCAACAAAGCTGTCACGTTTCTTGTTAAGACCCCCCCCCCCCCCCAGCACATCTTACCCAGTACAACTACGGGGAAGAGTCGGGCTGTACTTCTGATGGGGAGACGACTGCGATCTGCCATAGACCGTCTGCATCCCGATTTTCATCTGGATGGATCATCTCTGGAGCGTTACTTCCGAGATGGCTCTCAACCAGTTCGAGAGTTCTGTCCAGGCGATGCGGTGTATGCACGGAACTATCAAGGTAGCACCAAGTGGGTTCCCGGGTTCATCGCTTCAGTCACAGGACGCCTGTCGTACCAAGTTCGTCTGTCCAACGGTCGCGTTTGGCGAAGGCTCGTTGATCAACTCCGCAACCGTGCCAGTCCACTAGACCTTGGTGGAGCCACCAGTGACACTTGTGGTGACACGACCGATGGTGATCACTCCCCTGTGGTTGGCCAGGACCCACCACTGCCGGGGGTGAATGAAAATTCTCCAAGCCCAAGTCTACCCGCCAGCCCCACTACCTCCTTGCCTAGACCCGACGGTCCTAACCTGCCTGGAAGCCTTTCACGGGAGCAGAGCTCTCCCAGCCAACCTGCAACAACAGGAGCTTCTAAGTACCCTCAACGTGAGAGAAGACCCCCATGGCGTTACCAGGACTACGTTCCATAGGGGGGAAGGGATGTTGTGTATGCAGCAGATCGGGCAACTGTGAGCGATTGCAGCGCCATCCTCCAGTAGGCGGACGTGGAAGGACTTACTGTTCGCCATTCCGCTCTCTACCTCTTCAACTCTTATACGCGGCCGAAGTCGGCCTTGTAAATAAACCCGTGTTATGCATACCTAACACAAATTTTCGTCGACGGATTGATTGCGAAGACGTGAACGTCTGAGTGACGTAGTTCTCGTGTCGAATGCGTCAGCTGGGTTCGGCTGACGTGCTAGGGCGCCGCGGATGCTTCGCGATAAAGAGAAGGAGCGTTCGAAGGAAAAAGGTAAGAAATAGTCCGTTACATTTTTAAACTTTTGTACCGGAAAGCAGGATTTCTACCTAGTCAAACTGGCCTTTCGAAAGTCACGTGCTCTTTTTTCAAAGGTCTGAAACACTGAAAGATGGGGACACAAGCGACACCTCAGAATCTGCGATTCTAATACTACAATAGCTAGAAATGAAGTATCAGTAATAGAGTTTACAAGGTTACAACACTGGCGGTGTCTCTTGTGTCCGTCAATCTACAGGGATTCTACAACTTCCAACAGAGGGCACACTTTGGAAGAGGGTCACTTCTCCAGCCATCTGCTGCGATTGGTCAGCTCCGCGCCGCTGACCAATTGCAGCATACAGATCTGTCTTTGTACCTTGTTCCCGCTTGGTCCAGCCATGTAACAAAGGGCCCCAGATGAACGCCAAAAAGAACCAACAGGCGCGAGGTCTGTTCAAAGTTTCAATATTCTCGTCAACCAACTTGTCCTCACCAAGACGCTAAATCATACAGCCGAAGGCGCTCGCTATTGACGACGTGCGCGATCAAAAGCGTCGCTGTGGTTGGCCTTCCACGATTGGCTGAATGCTGAATATGACGTGAGCAAAGTATCTCTCATCGGCGGAAATAAGAAGAATGTAAGAACTTCAATTTTGACGATGTTGGTAGTGTTGGTTTCAGAAGGCTGTGATTTCAAGCTTCCACCCTACTCATTTCAAACACCATCGAAATTGTTGTTCGTAAGGTAAACATACGAGGGCGCCACCAAAACATCTCGGCACTAATACACCTTTCCATAAGAGCGTGGGAGAGCGCGTTCATTGATATGTTTGTGAGTTATGCACGTGCATATTCGGGCTGGCCGAATTGGCGAGGGTGCGCTAGCTGGGCTAAGATGTAGCTCGTGTTGACTAGGCTTTTTGTGGAAAGGGAAAACCTGTATAAACCATCCCAATGTTTACAAATTCTCAGCCAAGCGTGCGATCTCCTCAGCCAAGCACGCGCATTATCGTCGCTTCGAAAACCGAGCACAGAAAGCGCCACATGGACGAACAGTGAAATTGGAAGCGGCCAGGAGTCTTTTTTCAAAAACGTCTATAAAAGGTTCTTTCTTAAAAAAAAAAAAAAAAGAGCGTGTGGGTTTAGCCATCTTGAGTGTTCATGCGTATGGCGCTTTCTTTGCTCGCTTTTCCGAAGCGAGGAACAAACTCGGTGGTGCCATTTATTGGGCAGCCCCCGGCACACTTGCGATTCGCGTATATTTTATAATTCTTTACTCATAATTATTTTATCATACGACTGCATTACGTCTGAGAGTGATACTATAAGTGTCCATTTGCAGAAGATATTGTGTAAATTTGATTTAACCGGAAGAGGGTTAGAGATTATTCGCACCCCAGCGCCACAACGCTTCAATTCACGTAAGAAAGAGCCCATAGTTCTAGCGGGTGAACGGATTATACCTTTGATAACACTTCACCGCACGCGCACCTAAAGCTCGACCGTAGCTTCCTATGGCGTGATGTACGGGGGGACTACTGCATTCTTAGCCTGTCAGCGGCTGTAGTGATATCTGTCCACTGAGTGGCACGCCAATACGACTACTTTGCTTTCGAACAGATGGAAGGGCCTTAACCAGTTACAAAATCCTGAACTCTGCAAATAATGACTCGCGGCTGGCGCGCGTAGTTGCGGTGTCTTCGTCGCTGAGATCATTGTGGTATGAAGAAATGACTGCAAGAAGTCCACATGTTTTGTCTCACTTTGGTGGTAACTTAACCCGTGACGAAAAAATAATTTCAAACGCATTTATTAAATATTTTAAATCGGTGTTCACTCAAGACAATGATGTGTTACCAAATCTTGACGCTGGCTATCCGCCTATGCCTGAT